TGGTGTATACTGGGCTTCCTGGCCAGGGAGAAGGAGGGAAGTCACTGGAGCTCCTGAAGTGCTCAGTGGCTTCTTGTACCATCCCCCAGAGGCTGGACCGTACAGCGTCCCCATCCACAAGCAGCATTGACTCTACCACAGACTCTCGGGAGCGCAGTGTCAAGGGCGAGAGTGTGCTGCAGCGGGTGCAGAGTGTGGCTGGCAACAGCCAGTGTGGTGACTGCGGCCAGCCAGACCCCCGCTGGGCCAGCATCAACCTGGGTGTACTGCTTTGCATCGAGTGCTCAGGCATCCACAGGTGCCCCTGACTTTGGAGGGTCGGGCTGAGCCTGAGGTGGGGCCAAGCCAGAGAGAGGTTGAGCTCTGATTCATCCTTGCCCTTTGCCTTCTGTTCAGGAGCCTGGGTGTCCACTGCTCCAAAGTGCGTTCTCTGACACTGGACTCCTGGGAGCCAGAGCTGCTGAAGGTGCATGGCGGGCTCTTAGTGAGGACTGGGTCTGTGAGGAGGTGGGAGCCGGGCTGTCTGAACTTGGACTGACTGATGTCTGCATCCCATTCCCCCCAGCTGATGTGTGAGCTTGGAAACAGCACCATAAACCAGATCTACGAGGCCCAGTGTGAGAGTTCTAGTAGCAGGAAGCCCACAGCCAGCAGCCCTAGGTGAGGTAGGGTATAGCCTAGCATGGCCAGGGAGCCCCTACCTGTGAATGCAGCTCATGTCTATCACGGTCCAGACAGGACAAGGAAGCCTGGATCAAAGACAAATACGTGGAAAAGAAGTTCCTCCGGAAACTGCCCACAGTGCCGGCCCTGGAAGCCCCGAGGCCCTGGCGAGGACAAAAGTGTCAGCGACTCCACAGCTCCCCCCGAGCCCCCACCACCCGCCGCAAGGCCCGGCTTGAGCCCATCCTTCCCTCCTTGGCTGCTCTGTCCTCAGGTAGGAGCCTGCACTGAAGGCAGGACTGAGGATGGGATCCCTGAAGCTGGGTGGGGGTGAGGGGCAAGCTGCAAGTCTTGGGGTGGGCTGGATGGGCTGGAGGGAGGGCCTCCAGGGGGTGTCTTGGAGTCCTGCTCCTCTGCCAGCATGACAGGGACTTTCCTAGTCTGGCCTCAGTTTCCCCATGTGAAAAGCAGCTGCCTCCTGCAGCAGGCACTCTGGAGCGCAGGTTCCGCCGGGACTCCCTCTTCTGCCCAGATGAGCTGGACTCTCTGTTCTCCTACTTCGATGCAGGGGCTGCGGGGGCTGGTCCACGCAGTAAGTGCCAGGGTCCCCACCATGCTGCCTGCCCCTTGGCTGTCACCCTGGCAGGGTTGCAGAAGAGGGGCCCGGCAAGTAGACAAGTGTGGGCTGGGTCTGTTTGGGGACTAGAAGGACATACATCCCCTGCAGGAAGGATGGGGCCAGGCAGGAGAATTGGAACATCAGCTGGCTAAGCCTGGAAGGGCATCTAGAGCACTGGGGGTATCTTGGCCACTGCCCTGGAGACTAGGAAGTGATGCATGCAAGTGCGCACGTGCAGACTGAGTGCACACACTTGACCTCCTACGGCGGTGGTGTGAACTTCTGGAGAGGCTGGGTGACAGGCAGCAGAAGGCGCTGCTTTGCTGGCCCTAAGCCACTGGTTCCTCCCTTTCTGCCTGAACCCTGTTGGGCTGGAACTTGCACAGCTCCACCAGCTCTGTTGTGCCCCAGCTGCCCTGGGTCCCCTGGAGCTGTAACTCTTTTCCTTTCCTGCAGGGCTCCCCTCTACCTTTTGCAGAGGGCTGGTCCTGCCCTTGGGAGTGTCCCCTGGAGGGCGGGTGGGGCTCCAGCCTTCCCCAGCTTTCTCTAGGAATCAAGCCCTCCCCGGTCCTGTAGGTCTGAGCAGCGACAGTGGCCTGGGGGGCAGCTCCGATGGCAGCTCCGACGTCCTGGCCTTCGGCGCGGGCTCGGTGGTGGACAGCGTCACCGAGGAGGGTGGGTGGTGCCCTCCTCGCTGCAGCCCCAACCCAGGACCCCCGCCGCCCTTTGCCGGCCGCAGCAGTCTAACGGCTCCCTCCCCGCAGAGGGCGCAGAGTCCGAGGAGTCCAGCGGTGAGGCGGATGGGGAGGCTGAGGCCTGGAGCCTGGCAGATGTGCGTGAGCTGCACCCCGGGCTGCTGGCTCACCGCGCGGCGCGCACCCGAGACCTCCCCGCGCTGGCCGCGGCGCTGGCCCACGGGGCTGAGGTCAACTGGGCAGACGCGGAGGACGAGGGCAAGACTCTGCTGGTGCAGGCAGTGCTGGGGGTGAGCGGGGCAGCGTCCACGCCCGCGGGGGTGGGGGGCGAGTCCGGCTCAGGCTAAACCCCCACACCCATTCCTCAGGGTTCCTTGATCATCTGTGAATTTCTTCTGCAAAACGGAGCTGACGTGAACCAAAGAGACAGCCGGGGCCGCGCGCCACTGCACCACGCCACGCTCCTGGGCCGCACTGGGTGAGTCCGAGCTGCCGGGTCAGTTCACCTGCCCTGGCGCGGCCCGGTCCCGGCCCGCCACGACACAACCGTCTGCCCCCAGCCAGGTCTGCCTGTTCCTGAAGAGAGGAGCTGATCAGCACGCTCTGGACGAGGAACAGCAGGACCCGCTGACCATAGCGGTGCAGGCGGCCAACGCAGACATCGTCACACTGTGAGCCCAGGCTTGGGGACCATACAGCGCAGGAGGGGGGTGGGGCCGCCACGGGAGGGGTGGAGCCTCACGCTGCGCCTGCCCTCCCCCAGGCTCCGTTTGGCCCGCATGGCGGAGGAGATGCGTGAGGCCG